ATCGAAGCAATGATTGTTAAAATGCATAAGTGTTTCCGATCATATCGAAAAGAAGGCATTCGACCTGTCGCTAATACGAGAAAAAGATTCTTATTTTTAAATGCACGGCACACTCCCGGCAGCTAATGAGCACCTCGTGTCAAGCTGGAATGTTAATCGGACGGAATTCATCAATCACCACTGCGAAGAAAATATGGAACGATGTAATTTACGAAAACTAATCAGATAACCGCGCGTTAGAAGCCGAGAAAGAATAGATATAAATCATAATTGACATAATTAGCATATTGCAAAAAGCGACGAAGATATTGTTCTACCTCCTGTCTCCCCCTTCCCCTTTTCGCGCCACCCCGAGCACTTTTTCGCGTAATCGATAGGCCTGGCTGCCTCCACCTAATGAAATTGGTAATTATGGCCGGGAATATACTGCCCGACATTTCGAGCGAACGCGAAAACATTGCTCCTGCCCGCGTTATCTTAATCCGTATCACCCGGTGGCGATCACCTTGTCTCACGAATCGAGCATTGCGATCAGCCAGCAGCGCATGTGTGCCTTTGTGTAAAATAAAAATCGATCCTCTTTTTTCTCTTTCTGTGTGAAACGAAATGAGAAAAATGAGAAAAAATATGAGAAAATCATACACGAGCCACACTTCCTTGATCAATGCTCCCCGACCGACTACGAGGGAACGTTGTTCGAAGTTGTGCGGAATTCGCAGAATCGGGTCAATAGTTTCGTAAGACGGTCTGCTACTGCATGACAGAGAAATACGGACAATGCGCCGGGAGAAAAGTGGCAAAGCTATTGCCGCGGTTCACGTTTCTTCCCAGTACACCGTGGCGCAGCCGCCGTCGGCCACCGAGCGAACGGGCTGCCTGGCTGGCAGGCAGGCAAGCAGCCAGGCAAGCAGGCAAGGCAGGCATGAGGCAGGCAGGCAGGCAGGCAGGCAGGCAGACGAGCGAGCAGCACCCTCTCCCTCGTGTCACGCAAATCATTAATCTTGCTATGTTTTCTCGCACATTCGAATGTGGATTTAGACTCGAGACGAGACTCTGCGCGAAGATCTCTGGAAACGTACGTAAACGCGTCCAACCGTATCTGCGGCATGCGGCCGTTTGTCTCCATCCTGCAATGCTACTCGAACCAGAATGGCGAGTCCTGATGACGTAAACGTCCGGTGAACATCGCGATCTGATATTCAAGGCGATAACTCCCGTAGCGGGGTGATATGATTCGCCCTTTATTCCCTGGAGGACTTTTTAATAACACTGATGAATGTAATGAAATTACTGTTCTCTGGTCACGTATGAAATTAAGAAAGTCCAATCACCATACACGGGCGGAGGGAGGAGATTGCTTACTACAGATTATTTTACATATTATTTTGATACTCAATCTCAATGATCATTTTTTAAATACAAGCTGTTTTCGAAATAATTATTTGCAAAGAAATGTTTTATGCCCGCATTTTCATGTCTCTTTTTATCGAATAGATGTTAATTATCTATTAAAGTTATCAGATTCAGTTTTTTATTCGTTGTCTAACGATGACGTCAATAGAATGACCGTCCGTGATAAGTTAAATAAAAAAACTTGAAGGATAAATTATAAACCAATCATTGTATATGATTAGTGTAGTTGAAAAAAAAATTGCATTATTATATAATTAACAATTGGCACATTAGACTTGAATAGTTTTCACTTAAAGATTCTTGAGTTAACGTTGAATCTGTCTTATGAAAAAAACTGAGTGTAATTAAAACTATAATATTACAATTTACTGTCGGTATCATATGCGTGTTAATTTTTTCTCTTCTATTTATGTGCTTTTTAATTTATTCTTCACAATTTGTTTCTTCACGGTATAATCCATGTAATAAAAAAATATATTTACTTTTAGATACCTATTGATAAAAATTATGCGGAATTATGTATATGCTATGACGAACGCTTACAGAATGTCTAATGTTAACTTTCAGCGAACCATCGGCTGGTAATCGCTGATCTATGCGAGATGGCTGCGTTTTTCCTCGCCGTGTCATTATGAAACCGTGCATTTTTTATTCACTAGATTATATTACGAGTGAAAAGTGGGCAGTCCACTCGATTGGTAATTGCACTTGTGTATGCACTTCATTAGCACTTATGAGTAGTTGCGTAACGACTGGTATGTCATTTTAATATGAACACGATCAGAGATTAATGGATTTGCTTCAGTCGTTACAGAAAGATTCAAGAAATCTCGTATTCGTTAGCGATAGACGTACATTTAATGAAGATTCCTAATAAAAAATAAGGTATTAAAAATATGGCATACAGGATGATATGGATAAGACATGCCGTTCTCTTTAGTTTGAAATATTCGCAGGTGTCTGAGGTGCGTATTCAGCTCAGAGAATGGTATAGCTGAAATTTCACAGTAATATAAGTATATGTGTATGTTCACATTTTAAAAAATAGACTCTTCGAAACTATATTAACTATACTAACTATATTAACTAATTTTTGTAAATTGCTATATATTATTGATTACATTTAAATTATGCTTAAAAATATCGCAAAAGGACATACGTATTTTTATCATATATATTACATTGATAATTCTATAAATTGTATTATTAAATCACAAAGTTATGCAAGAACTAAAAAGAAAATATACTACAAAAGATATAAATATAAAAATAAATAATAAACATAAATATAATAAAAATAATATCAATAATATAAATAATAAATATAAGTAACAAAAATATAAATATAAATAATCAAATAATAATAATATAAATCAGTAATAATTTTGCAAGATATTTAACAAAAATTAGCTTATTAAACTTTTTGATGTTAAAGTTATGTTAAAAAAATTATTAGAAAAATTTTGTTAGATAATGTAAAGTACTTCTTTTTTGTAAATTAAGTTATACACACACACACACACACATATAAATTAAAATTAACGTCTCATGAATATTTTGTTCCATACGATATCAATTATCCATACGATATGCAAATGAAATTTGAATTAACCTGTATAAACTACGAGGAGAATGTGCAATTTAATACGATGTGTGAGTGAACTTATGTGCAACAGGTCACACTAGACGTAGCAGTTCATCATTGGCGATATACCAATGTGCATGCAACCAAGTCCATGGGCGTAATGACGTCCATTAGTTCTTTTTTACATTCACAATTTTTTTGTTGCTATTAATAACTCTTCTATCATATGCATAAACGAACTCAAAAATATCCCTAACGACATATCTAATTGTATATTAAGCGCAATAATGCCTGTTCATTTATTAAAGATTTAGGATCATCAGAAAATTTTCTATTCTGTACATCTTGTCTGGATATTCGTGAATCATAAATATTAATTATTATTTGAGGAAGCGGTACAATCTCTCTTATAACAGCTAATCTGTCACTGTGATAGTTCCACGTGTAACTAATGTCATTAAGATTAACAGTGACTGTAAATTTAGCAAGTGACGAGACATTATCGATGATTAGTATACAATCGTGTAATATGTGCGTACAGAAATTCTTTCTGCTTTTGTTTATAAGTAACATTCGGGTTTCATTTCGAAAAAAATTAAATATGTATTTAATATACAATATCCTCGTTTGTTTTTGTTAGTTATGCTAAATCATATATTGTATCAACTTTTCAAATTGAACAGTTTAAGTATTTTTCATAAATGACAACGATTTAAAACTATAGAAGAAATATTTTGATCGGAAATAGTTAACAAACATTAAATTGTAACAAAAATAATTTCTACACTTAAAATGTAAAACTCAAATTACATAAATTCGATGTTCGAATTTGTAATATCTATATGTTATGATGTCTCGCTATATCTATATGTTAAATATTTTGCAAGTCTTAATTGGTATATGTATATATCATAAATTTTATTATAGTTATAGTTATCATGTTATATATATATATATATATCGCTTACTATATATAATGTAATATATATATATATATAATGTTATTAGTCAATAATAATTAGTAATAGTTAAATAGCATAATTTGTTACACGATCTATTGTTTGATTATACTTATTTAAAGATCACCGTTGCTCTGTATGCACCACACAAACCTCTCTAGAACCGAATTTGTCGCCTCTTATCAAACAAATTCGGATCTACAGGGTAGATGTAGAGCATTAACTGGGCTTTCTTGTGTGGCACATTGTTTAAATATCATTAATTTTTTATCTATTTAAAAATACTTAGACTGCATACAAATATGTATATATATACGTGCCGGTCTTAACTTCGTTGTCCGCCCAGTATGTGATCTTCAGTAGACATCACATCAGGTACCATTTAGGAACCTGAAAATATTTCCCTATTAATACTAATTTCTATTGACATTGATTGAAACAATTTCATGATTGTAATATTTTGTACAACTTTATCTGCTTTCGTTATAAATTTATAACATATCACACATTATTATGTCAAAATAAACATTACCACAAACATTTAAACTGGAAATATATTACGTATTTTATCGATATTATAGCGTAACCATTTTTACAAATTTATATATTTTTATTTTTTTAACATTTTTTTATTGTATTTTTTATTATTTTATTATATTATTTTATTATTTTGTATTGTATTTTTTGCTTTCAAGGAATAAATATCGTTGGCAGAATGTAATTTCAAAATAGTATGCTCGCGAGCTTACGAAATGCATGGTCATAGCTTAGATATGCCGAGTCAAGAAAGCAGGGCAGGATTTATTTTCGCTCAACTTTTGTTTTTCGTTCTTATATAAGTGTCATAATAATTTTCATTGTTATTTAATCGTAATTTTCGTTTCTATATAAGAAGAAGTTACTTTATAGAAGAAGAACTTTATAAAGGATTAGAGAAAAGTTATATTTACATTTCTCGTTGTATTAACGCGCAAATTTAACAATTATATAACTATATAAATAAATATATGTCGAGTTTTGATTCTACCTTAGATCTTCTCGATAAATCGGAAAAATTTGCTATTCTTTATTTTCCTTACTCTGTGTATTCGCGTGACCGCAATTATGTTTTAACTTTAATTAGCGTATCTCCGCTACTATGTTTTTACATCATAAAACCTTTCCATTTTCGTTAAATATGAATGAATAATTGTTTCGTAATGGCTTTGATCCGACAACGATCTGCCCCAACAAATTGCATGTTATCAAGGTACTAATATTGAAGTCGCTTCTTTCACAAAGTATTTAGATACGCTGTTACAGATAAACTCTGTTATGTCACTTAACACGCTTCATAAATGAATATCGTACTGGGTTATCTCAGTGACAATGATCACATTACACCTGCACTACCGATGATGATTGATGCTCGTCCCTGGGATCGAAACCACCTGAGCGTTAACGGCTTGAGAATGACACAGCTGAATGTAGCAAGGTCGCGTTCTCCTTGGTTTTCTTCTTCTTCTTCTTCGTCTTCTTAGCGGTACAGCTCCTTTTATTCCTGTACGTGTGTCGACGTACCTTTCATTTCCAGGTTACTTGGTCATGACACGAGCGAGCAGATCGTTTGCATGCAATTACTAAAAAAGAAATGCAAAAATAATCCTAAGAAAACTAACAATATTATAGAGTAATAATGCGGAGTATATTTCATGAACAATAATATTTCGATATAAGTGTTTCTTAGCAAAAATATTTCATGGAAAAAACAAAAAGCAAAAAAATTTTCTTCGATATAAGTATAAAATGAAAAATGAAAAATAATCATTTTACGCAAGAAATAATATAATATAATATTTTACGAATTTTACAAATTTGTTCTTTTCTCTGGGGAAAATTACGAGATTTTCCCATTGTAGCAAATATATCAGTCGTTCCCTCAAATTGGCTGATGATGTTAATCCTCTTAAACGACGGCTTTCGGACCTTGATCCGGATTAAGGAGTATGAAAATATCCGATTTCAAAATATTTTCACCTTTTAACTTGTAATACCATACTTAGCTATTGACATATAGAAACATCTCTACTTCAGAAGATGTACCCGAAATTTTCTTTAAAAATTTAAAAAGAAAGTAATATAGGTCTATATAACGTTTCGTATAAATATTATAAGCAAAGTTTATGCAAATTCTGTCGAAAACTGATTTTAATTACTTTACTTTCATAAATAGTTTTTATCACTAACGATATATTATTTTTAACATTGTGCTATCATGCAATTGACTTTACCGACACAGTTATCTTCATACGAGAACATAAAAATTCTCTAGATAAAAAATTCTAAATTACTCTAATTATACTATTCTAAATCTATTCTAAATTATACATTATATTATATTTCATAATTTTCTTCGAATTGTATACAGACCCACATAATTTAACATTTTAACATCTAGAGGCACTTTAGTACGTCTTTTAACCACTCTCATTGCGTAGACATATTCGTGCATCATGACTATTGATTGTTCAAGGAAGTGGTAAGAATATTTTAATCATTATCTAAAAGAAAACCTATATAAGAAAAGTACATAAAATTATGTATATTAAACGAGATAAAATTATACGTATTTTTGTCGTCTCGTCGAATAATCAACAGTTGCATGATGACAATCATGTATATTTAGATATATTAAAAGATTATAGTTGTTACTCGATGTTAAAGCTATTATATTAGTCGGTATATATTTATATAAACAGTTTTTACGTAAATTATTCCATATATAAAAATAGATTTAAAGTTATATATACTCACTTTCAGATAATTGCCGATTATATCTCTAACAATGAGTCGCTGAAGAGCTGTTGGTGGGGATGATTGTCGGCAATAAGATGAGAGAGTATTTGAGCTCCGTGGGTAGCCTTCCTTCTATCGACCCGAACATTTCGTCCGCCCCTAGGACGCCATTACTGGATTTCATCTATATGTTCCTGCACGTTTACACGTCACCGCCGAAATTGCTTTTATATCCTCGCCACTGCACATAATGTTTAATATAAGTGCCGTTATTTCAACATGCTATTAAAAACTTTCGGCTAATTGTGTTAAGTAACTTTCAACAAAATAGCTGGATCTATCTCAAAATTAATATGCATGATACCTACATATATATATATATATATATATATATATATATATATATACATGTATGTGTGTGTATATAATATAAAACCTGATATATATATATATATATATATATACAATATGGTTAAAATATATCGACGATAATTTGCAAAGATGAAAATAAGAATATTTGTGCTTCATCAAAAACTTCACAAACCTTGGGCATGATCAATTGATTACTTTTCTTTGTAATGTAAAAGATATTTTATGCAAAGTTATTTTTAACTGCTGTAATAAATATTGTGGGTATGCATAGTAATGGTAAAAGCATGCCTCATGAAAGTACCTATCATCATGATTAAATTGTTTTTAAAGCTGTAATTACTAAGCAAGTGAAATCAATTATTTATATGATCAGGTATCACTTATAAACATCATATCATATCATTAGTTATATCGACTTTATATCTTGATGTATAGTCGCACTTTGTATTTTATAAAGTGCGACTGTGTATCATAATCGATACAGTCTCAGGCGCCAAGTAGGTACAAATATGTAAAATAAGTAAATGCTAGTTATCGATGTATGAGCATTATCTTCTCCTTCCTAAATGCAATAAAAATGAATAAATAAAACATTTTTTTGCTTTGCTCGTCTGTTATCAAGAATAATAAATAAAAATAAAGTTTAAGTTACGTATAGTTTATACTCAAAATTACTTACATGCAACATGAGCAAATGGCTCTTGGATGCATTTTTAATAGAAAGAGTAGTCGTGGTCTTGTTACTTGATACTCTCTAACACAAGGAGAACCTCCGGTCTTGTTTCATGGCTAGACGGAACGTCATGGCTGAACCGACGAATAAACCAATAAACGGGGCAACCATCTGCTTGCCAGCCGGCATCTTTCCCTTTCCTCTCATTCCCCTAGCCATTCCATAGCACCATTCTTCTCCCCTCGTGTTTCTTCCTCTTCGTCTTCCCCCTTGTGTCCCCTTTAGCACCATTTTATACGATCCTGAAATGAAATTCACGTGAGGGCTCATAGCATCTATAGGGAATATACGACTTTTGTGCCGTGATAATAAGTGAATCTACCTATGATAACAAACTCTTATCAGAGTAATCTAATGCTCGGTCGAGATAAGTCGAATAGAAATGAACAATGAATTTCCTAGTGATATAAAAATTTACTCTCTCTCTCTTTCTTGTTCTCTCTCTTTCTCTCTCTCTCTCTCTCTCTCTCTCTCTCTCTTTCTCTCTCTCTCTCTCTCTCTCTTTCTCTCTCTCTTTCTATGTATATATAGTTCTTATGTTATCTTGTTGCACTTTGATATGAATGACTGAGAAATTATAGTTATATGGAATAGTAATTTGACTTTAATATCATTATATGCAAATATCAAAATTATTAAAAAAATTATAGAGTTTGTATGAATATGTTCATAAAATATAGTTACAATCAAATCCTATTATGTGTCGCGAAAATGATCAAGAAAGCATCAATGGTTATAAATTGTATAGAAATTACATGTTAGGTCACACAAAGACTAAAACTTCGAAGAAGCTGGAAATGCGCACAGCGGGTTGGCTACAAAACCGAAGGTCAAATTGGTCGCCATTATTCGAGATCTATTACCTACAACGGTCCGTGATACCTGCTCAATCTTGAGAAAAGAAAAACGCCGACAGTGAAGTCGCTTCTTGTTATGGAAGAAACAGGAAACTTCTAGTAATTTCCATATTCGAAGCTACTTAAATTTACATTTTTAGACATCAAAATTGTTTACAGAATTCTTTTTTTATAGTAATATGTTAACATTTAGCTTAATGTATTTGATATTAACATTAAAATACATTAAATAATACGTTCAAATTTACATCTGATAAGAAATTGTAACCTATGTATGATATTTATGAATAGAAATATTTTTACTACTATTGTATAGTCAACTGCGAATGATATCGATGTGATAGTCTAGTGTAGTGAGAATATAGTTGGCCGTATGATCGCCGGTGTAAAATTAACAAGGCCTCGTTGGGTCTCTCATTGCATAGTGTGTCGTCATCTTGCGGAAATGTGTTGGTTTATCGTACACCAGTACCTTAATTTAACCTTAATTACCGTATTCGAGTTTGAAAAGTGTCAAACGCTGGTATAATGAAATGCCGTATAAATCAGTGTACAATGCATCGGGATTCTAATATAAATTGCATTAGATAGAATCGTAAAATTGGTAAATACTAAATAACGAAAGACCAGTGTGTATACCTGACACGTGTTGTGCGAATATTTGGTGATAATAGTTCCATTAACGTATAATAAATAAATATCATAAATAAATAAATGATGCTAACAGCTCGACCAGTGAATGAATGATACTGATATTTTTATTTCGGAAGGTTTAATATCACAAGTGATGACACGATTGGTATAAAAGGATATTCGGGCACGAAAAAAGTTACATGGCCGCGGGGGAAATCTTAGTAAAATCAGCTTGCCACGCTATGCGTTAAATACACGGCTACTTCACAGTGGCTGCACACATCACGAAAGGAGACGGACGACATCGATCATTCAACATTTTGTCGTGTCACGCTGTCTCTTGTTCATCCACGTGCTAGTTCACGACTACTGTTTCTACATACCTAACTCACATTCAAAACGACACGGTACCCGGCACGCGGTTTTCCAAAATTTCTTTTCTATGAATACTTTTAAGATAAACATACGATGGAAATATTTAATTAACGTATGACAGATTATTTCGGACTAATTTGCAATCGCATATATTTTTCTCGAATAATACATGTAGTTTGCATTAGAGATTGTTGAAAAGATTACTTGATAGACGTGAATTCATGTTGGAGAGATCAATCTTACCGCGGGGAGACACCTAATAAGTTTAGAGATCGGATAATTAGATATGGAATGCGTCCGGAGTAACTCTTTAATTGGGCCCGTAGCTTTCGTGCATGTCTGAGCGATTATCTAACGCCGATTATCATGTTCAGTGAAAAAAGAAAATGAATGAAACGTAGCACGTTATTTATGAATTCATATGTGAACGTTACTTCCAAGTACCGTACAAAAATAGAGGATCTAAATGAACTTGATAAGCAAATTACAACGTACGGGCAGTTCCTGCTTCTTTCAAAGGTTACACTATCTGTATCAGATTTCACTAATTTTACATAGCCGTATATTATTTGTACGCACAGTCAGTCCAGTTATTCTTTATCCGCGACAACAGGATGCATAGAGCCGAATCTTCCATGTCGGGCCCGTCGGAAACCTTCCCGCGCCGTAAATCTCGATCTGTGCGGAATATTTTTATTGTACAATTGCGTACTGTCTCGCGAGTTACGAAATGAACCGAAATGGAATCGTGTCGCGGATGAGGAGCACTGTGCAAATCGATCGGCGTCCCGCCAGATTGCAAGAGGCTATGCGGGAGTCGCAAAATTCACCACCGTCGGCGCCACCGCGGCGGTACCTTATATGTGCCGAAGTGTAACTCACCGGCTATCGACATCATGCTAATGACGATGATATCTATTTCTCTCATCTGAATAAGTCGATACAGCGGCTCAGACGTGTTATGCAAAAAAATAAAAGAATAGAACGTTGAATTGGTTTTTCGCTGTCCCGTATGATTGAAGTCGAACGCGAAAACGGCCTGATATTTGCGTTCCAAGGATTTCTCCCTGTATATGTTTATACTAGATGTTATGCTAGATATTCGACGAGACTTGACATTTGTTAACTATTAATCTGTTTAATCTATTTAAACCGAAAATACTCGTTAAAATATTAAGTTCTTTAACAGAAAGAAACAATAGATTATTGTACCATCGTGTATATCTTAACTACATTGTTGAATTAAGATATATATAAACAGAAGAAAAAAGGACTTTCTCTATACTTGCCATAATTTTTACAGAAAATGTGCTCCGAATGTTGCTCAATGCAAATTAGCTCACTTATTGGAAGTAGAAGTGCAACAATGAATCTGATTCCGAATTTTCTCTCTCTCTCTCTCTCTCTCTCACTTTCTATGATTATACATAATAATAAATTCTATACGAACTAATATTCCACCTCGGCATCAAGAGACTTTTTGCTCAAATTTTGAGATGTTGGTATTGTATTTTATATTATTCCTGCATCATTTCAAACTGATGATTCTGACAAATTATAGCAGATCGTTCTATTGCTCCGCCGCGTAGCTTTTCCTTGTTCTCGTCTGTTAAAAATAGACAGTGTCAAGGACATATAGAATGCTTCCATGACACATAATAAATATGATAAAAATCTTCTTGGTCTCTTCTTTAAAATATCTGTTGAACTGACACTGTGTCTTGACGAAAGAATCAAAATATTGTTTCTTATTTTTCTTGAATTTTTAAACGAATCTCCTTGAGGCAACACGACACTAAATATAGCACATCTTCCTCTCACAAACAATAAATAAATAAATTTTAACAGAACCATAAGAACATATACACAAACTCACCAATATACTAGTCGAATATATTTCGAGCACATTATCAATTTTACGTTGATACACTGGTTTATCGCAAAACAATTGCCTCTCGATAAGCGCACAGACGTCCATGAGAGGATGAGTCTCTGAGTTGGGGATGGAAATGCGCACGAATCGACGCTGGGCGTCGCCATCGTAGGGATGGAACAGCCAGGACTCGGTGAGGTGGTGAATTCAGGGCTGGAGTGGGGAGAATTCGAAAGTCGAGCAAGGAGCTTCGTGTCCGACCGCTACTACGGCGACCTGCAGACTGTTCTGTCGAGCGACCTCGGCGTTCCTCGCTTACGGACAGTCATTAACATAAATTGTCTTTGGTGACAGTTACCACCACCACTATCGCCACCACCACTATTCTATATCATACTTATTAAAATAAAGTAATAATCGTGATGCTACACACATAGCTTCATAATTAATTAATTTTTATATCATATATATTTTTCATTGCGTTGAAAAATCTATGAAACATCATTAAACATCATTAAACATCTTAGGAACATCTTGAAAAACTTTTTCGTCAAGGCGTAGTACACATTTACGTCATGCCATAAATCTCGTCCAGGAATGCACCGTGAAGACTCGTATACCTGAAATTGAATAGTTCCTTTCGAAAGAAGATAGTACTGTGAACGAATTCGTTATTTTCCTACGATTTTACAACATGTACAAAATTATGTACAAAATTATTGAAAAAATGTTTAATGTATCAGTAACAAATATTAACATTAATTTAATGTTGCAGAAAATAAGATATTTGTTACAAATTTTATTTTTTGTAATACCAAAATCTGACTTATTATACCCATACAGAACAAAAGTTGCAGCAATGTTGCAACTTTTGTGCTGTATGGGTATTACGTTTATATATAATAAATTTCATAAATTTTTATTATTAAAATTGTTAGTAAACCGTTGAAACAATTTGTATTTCCACATATTCCACAAGGCAATATACATATATACATATTTAGACATGTATAAAATGAGCTCTCGCTCCCGACTATACACTTACCGCTCATACTCGAATCTTCTAGGAAGGCGCTGTTGCTGATTTACGATAAGCTCTCTCTCACTTATGACTATACGTGGAGCCCATCTCTTGAAACTGGTAATAAGGCGTTGTTGCCGACTTATAATGCTGGTTTAACACGTATGCATCTATTATACGCAGAAAAGTCACACATTATTTAAACAGACATATGTTCTATATACATTCGATATGTACGTATAGATCGATATTGATTTTTTAACATGTGCTGCATTTATTCTTGTTAATATTATTATTGTTTTTTTAAATAATTAATAGTCATATAACAGAAATAGAATCGATACAGATAAACATTTCTAATGACTAGTGACCTTACTACTAACCCTACGTCTGGTAAAGGTGAATAAATATCTGTCGGTATATATACCTTATAAGACTCTTAAATGTGAACTCTTATATGATAATAAACCCTTATATTTATCACATTTAAGGTATGATAAATTTTCGGACCAAACATATCATTTAAATAATTATATGTCATAACTGTTCATTATTCTTTATTATTACTTTAAACAAGGAATATTTAATTTTTATATTTCTTTTATATTATTGATATTAGAATCCCTTAAGTGTTGTTTCTACAATTACAACTTATGTTACTAAAGAAATCGATAAACGCGCAAGGTATCTTAGATTTATTTATCAAGAAATACTTTGTTCTAAGGTTTATCTCTAACGATAAGTTACCGACATTCAGATGCAACTGTACATATGTACCAACGGATGTAAATTTAAAATTTAAGATATCATATGAGCATACTTCAAAGAATAATATTCAGGTAGTTCATCTGTGGAACACATTGATATAATAATATTCTACTAGAAACATCGTTTAATGTATAAATATAAATCGTTTAATGTATAAATATAAAATTCATGTATAGTATAAAATGTTCAATTTTTCACGTGTGCCAAATTGATACATATTAACAGCAGTAGTTTTTAAGAGATAAAATATTATATATTTGAGCTGATAAAAATATAGTAAAATGTTGTTAAATATTTTTTGTAACCTTAACATTTATTTTAAAACCAATTTCTGAAATGTACATTATCGTACATTTGAATAATTAGAAACAAAATTTATGGATTTACTAATACAAAAGTCTTTTGTAAATTTAGAAGATAATGGCTGCGTTCAGTAGAACAAAATGATCAGTGAACGCTTAGTGATTATTGTCTGTGATTGGAGCATTTTTTTAGATTCTTCATAGATCCAGAAGTACTGATCACTTTGTTCTGCTGAACGCAGCCATTGTTATTTTATTTTAATCAATCAAAAATTTTATTTTAGTAAATAAAAATATGATTTTGGAACAAAAACAACAAATATCAATTTAATATTGGAAGAAAAAAGCAAGAATATCTGTTATAAAAAATACACATTGATTAAAAAAATATGATGGTATAAAATATAAAATATATTTTTGTAGCTTTAATAAGTAATGCACAAAATTGCAATGCTACGCCAATGTTGCAACTGCAGGTGATCGTAGGTCACGTGTGACAAACTCCACCCTTTGAGTAGTAGGCTTAACCAGCAACGGACCACCTCTCGTCACCGTCATCCCCCACTTCCTCCGGACACAATTTGATTCATGATGGCTGCGTTTTGCTTCTATCGCCATCTTTCAGAAATCCTATAAAGTTATAAGATTTATTGATCGGTATAAAAGATATTACTTTTAATATATTGTTACCGACTGTATATTCTACAGGAGATTTAAAACACGTTGTCTAGTCCTTGTCACAGATGGCATAATTTCCGATTTGTAACAAAATAGGATCAGAACATTCGACAAGCGAATTAACCGATAACCTAACATAGTTTAATTTGAATTAACTAGCAACTATTTGCTCATATTTTAATGATTGATTATGGATCGTAGAAATTAAAAAATGAAGTTTACAAAAAAACAAAACCCCATTTTTTTTAGTCCAATATATATTGTTACATACATAATATAATAACATTATATAATACATTATATAATAACTGTATAGCTATTATGATATGCTCATATAACTATCATATAACATACATGTAATGCATATACGCTAGGCTATATAAATACGTGTGCCAGACAAAGGATAATTAGAATTTTTCGATCATTCATATCGTGTTCACATATCTGCGGATCAAGATTATTGAATTATTTAGAAGAAACAGCGACGATATTTCAAATATTCTGAGAAAATGGCACTCTGTATCATAAAATATAGAATTAAATATAAAAATAGAAATGAAGAGTTTAAAACATCTCATTGCTGTCTTATTAAATAATTAACAGTAACGCTGTTCCCTGCTTCTCATATGGTACATAAATTTGAACAATGTTATTTATTGTCTAAATAAATGTTATTTAATAAAAGTACTACATAAAAAAGGAATATTTTTTATTATATTTGGATCTTTTAGTTTTTAACTAACTTTTAAATATCTTGTGAGATTGCCCGGTTAGTGTATATATATATATATATATATATATATATATATATATTGTAGATCGCATTATAATAATTCCTCTCGACACACTGCGTGTAGACGTCACATCGCATTTGCAGGTGTTATAGTGCACAACCTCGCTGTCTGATGTCTTACCTAACCTTTGAACTCCCATGGGTGCAGTATTCTGAGACATGTAACTGACACTGGCCAAAGTAGAAGTGAGGTTCCTTCTTCATTGAAGGTGGCATTGGTTGAATTCACAATGTACAAGGTATTCAAGAACATATATACCGTCATTTTTCAAACTTTCGATGAAATGTGGAAATTGTGGAAGTTATATGTATATACAAAGGTCATTTATGCGTTACTGTATGATTCGTTGCTGCTGATAATCGAAATACTCTCTTAATTTAAGAATCAAACTCTTCTGAAGAAATAGAGAATTTTAATAACTCGTGAATCAATATGGCTTGAGTTCGAG